AAGCCGCTTCAAGGAGAATCCGGTAAGGTCAGTTCTCTACGCACTTATAAACCAAGACGTGTTCATGGCTGAAGCGAACAAAACAATGAGAACCAAAAACAGTTCAAGGGTTGATTGTGTGACTTATGTTGTCTAGGTATACACCAAAGCTCGACGGTTCAAAAATATCAAATCTACCGATTGACCGAGTATATTCGATATATGCTCACTATGGAAAGTCCAAAGTGTTGTGACCTTTCTGAAAGGTTGTTTCTTTCCGTAGAGTTGTGACCTTTACCCTTTGTTGGCTATAAATAGAGAAGCTTTCTCTCATTTTTCTGCACTGAATTCTTCCCTTCTTTTGCATACATTTATTACAAAACAAAATTGATCGATCGTGTCTGTGTGTGTTATTCATTGCTGTCATTTTGAGTTCGTTGAAATTATCGAAGTTTGAGGTACCTCTACTTCTTTAATGGTTTATCCATTTTATCTTGGGAGGAATTAATCTGCAACCTAGGGTAATTGAGGGGATTAAATTTTTTAAGGATACACAGTGAGTTCTATGGACTCGGATAGTTATTTGTTTTTTTTCTTTTCGTTGTTTATCATTTCTGATTTGCTAATCTGAATACGAAAGATAACACGTTTCAGCTCCCATCTACTTAAATTTGTTGGCATTATCCCTGCAAGGGCTAATTATATATCTAAGTGCATGATATTATACTAATCATCACAACACATACAATATAGTAAGAAATGTTCTTAAACTAAAGGCACATGTGAGAAAAATATAGTAGATGGGCATATAAATACACATAAGATTATGAATACATGAGTTAGGCTAATGATTAAGAATCATCAATAAATATGAAGTACCATAATTTCAATAATAGAATTCAACAATATGAAGTTCGAATTAGAGAGAATTTGAAATCATTGACTTTGGGATAATAATCTTAGTTTTGATCTTACTGACTGTAACTGTAGATGTAGAGAGTGATAAAAAACTGAATTTCTTACTATGATAGTCTTACATACCTTAAACGTTCCACGAATCAGATGAAAAATCCTAAGAACGATAAAAAAATAAATTCTTAAGATTCTTTATCTTTTACATCCTATGACAAACGATTAAGATTTCTATTAACAATTCATGATTAGATGATTGAATTTGATTTGTGGAAAGCTTAAACTCCTTTGAGAAGGATTTACTTGGATGAGAGAAAATCAGTTCTAGGTCTTGAAAGAATGACCAATAAGTAAAAAAAATTGGAGTATAATCGACTTAAAGAAGATTTTCGTCAGCCCATTTGCTACCCATTTGCTACTCATTTGCGACCAGCAAGTGGGAACTTGCGGCCCGCAATCGGTCCGTAGCTCATTCCAGAACGCCCTCACTTTTTTTTCCATTTGCGATCAATTTGTGGTCCACAAGTGGGCACTTTCAGCAACAACCGAGTCACATTTGTTTTCAAGAATATCATTTAAAATTAAAATGTTCATAACTTTTGAGTCTGGACTCGAATAGATGAGTGGTTGACAATGTTAGAAAGAAGACTCGAACACCTTTAATTCATTTAATGGACACCTAATTATTCATATTTTAAGAATTCATATTTTAAAAGATATGATTGTTTGAAGTTTATCCAAGTAAAAACTTATATCGATTCTCAATCTCAACTTTGAGCTAGAGGATTCTCTCCAAAACACTTTTCACACATAGGAATTGACTTTAACACCTATGCACAATTAAAAAGCACATGATTAGACCTATACACATATGAAAAATGATTTGAAACTTAACTTAAAATTTGCAGCATGTTACGTGTGCGTACCATTGTGATCATGTGAAAAAACATGAATTAGAATGTTGTAAAAACACAATTTTGCTTCTCATCAGATGTTGATCCCCTTGAATTATTCTTGGAGTATGAACTTACAATCGTTTGAACTTCATAAATCATTCATGATGTTTGTTTTTAGATTATTTTAAAGATTTAGAATGTGAAAATTTGAACACCACCGTGCATCACTGCTTAGGTTTGTACTAACAAAGGTGTGAACCTCAAGAATCGTTGCTAGGTTTTGAACTCAAACACATTATATTGGGGTTTCAATGTAACTTCTTCAAACTTTAGTAACAATTGTTGAAGTTATTACGTGTTTTAGATGATAATATTTTTGTCAAAACAACTCGTGTTAAAAGGATTGTTAATTTTATCCCTTCTAATGTACCGTGAATTTTAATATGAAATTAAACACAATAGCATTGAAAATTAATGATTTTGAACTTTTGATCTCCGTTTATTTGAACAAACGTTCAAGGTAAAAATCAAAACTTGTTAAATTTAAAATTTCTTATAAAACAAATGAGGTTAAAAGTTCAAGATTAGTCACCTCCAAAGCCATTGTGGTATATTTATCGAGAAGATTTTAGAAATAGCAAACATAATATACACAATAAGGTTTTGTAGCTATAATTTCGATAATTGCGCTTCATAACTATCGTTTAATTTGCTATGGAGGCTGACTTTTGTACATTTCTTTTTGTTTGTATATTTCACTTGCGAATATATAAATAGGGTAAATATGTACAAATTTTGTATTTTATACGTTTAGGAATTTTTCAGAACTCCATTTGTATATTTTGCTTGCCAATATGAGAACGGAGTAATTTATTATGATTTTTTCATAAATCGTGTACAAATAGCTAGGGTAAACATATACAAAATTCTAGATTTATATAATCAGAAATCGAATTATACAAATTCTGAATTTATACCAAATTATATAAATTCTGAATTTATATAGATCAGACGAACTATACAACTCAGCGAATAGCAAAAATTGGAAAAACTATAATAGTTAATTATAATTTTCTTAATTTGTAGCTATAATACCTAATAGGGAAAATTGTATATAATAGCAAACTATTAATTCAAATTAAATGCTATAAACATAGTTTGATTTAATTGTACCTCATAGTAAACTGTTGCTATTTCGCCTCTCCTGGTGAATCTCGCTCGCCACTCTCGTTCTCTCCCTCGCCTCTCTTGCTTTTTATACAAATGCAAATGTATAAAATGCATTTGTGTTTGTATAGAGCGAGAGAAAATTGTATATATACATATATTTTCGTTCCCCTCTCCCAGATCTCGCTCGCCACTCTCCCTGATCTCACTCGTCACTCTCCCGGATCTCGCTCGTCAATCTCTCCCTCGCCTCTCTCGCTTATACAAATAGAAATGTATAAATTGTGTTTCTGTTTGTATAAAGCGAGAGAAAATTGTATATACACATGCAAATACATATATCTTCATCCTATACACTTATAATTATACAATACAAATATTCCTCTGCCTAGAATCTTTTGTCTTTCTCTAGATTATATACAACTGCTTTCTTTTGTATATGTATAGCGAAATATACATATTTATATTTGTTATGGAGCGCAATTATACAAACTATATATAGCTATAGTATATAAATATGATTTTTGTGTTTCCTATATGTGAAAATTGCTCTACCTAATATAGGCTAAATGTTTGATATTTTATGTAACGAAATTCATTGTTAAGGTCCGCAGGCTTGATGTACATATGGGCCAGACAGCCCAATCTATGAAACTCCATATAGATGAGGTAACCCTAATTTTCCTAGTCGATCTACTACTACGTCTACTAGTATATATGCATGAGTTAAACCTTGTAAATCCCTACTTCAGCAATTTTTCTCTGCAAGTTTTACCCCAATTATAAGCATTTTCCCATTACTATTTATGCTCTCATTAACTATTTTTATTTATTTATTTTCCTTTAAAAGATACTTATTTACAAAAATTTTTAAAAATTTCTGTTAGTACTTATTTTTTGTGGGTACTGTTAAAAATATTGAGATGATGATCGCACTGGGCTCTGAATGTTTTGATGGACAATGCAGCCTAGAAAGCTATGTCTGATCACAACTTTACATGATTTTTTTTTTTTCATAAACCTCAACTTTTCATTAAAAATAAAAAAGTTTTACAGAGTTCTTGAATATTGTATTATGTAAGATAAATAAAGTTAGCTATAGTAGACTTATAAAAGGACTTTATAACTAAATTAAAATACGCAAGTATAATATAAAGTATGTATCTAATTTTATTTACACTATATAAAGGGATAAACTTTTATTTTCAATTATAACCTATCACGATTATTTAACTTAGAGATAAAACTGTTAATGATACTAGCACTCGATTTTTCCGATTTCATTTACTTTGTTTACGTGAATTTGATATAATCCTCAAGGAAGCAGATTTATTAATGATATTTTAAAATTCTAAATTTGATTATTATGAAGAAAAAAAAAACATTTTTAATTTGCTCAGATAAAGTACCTGAAATGGAAGGAGTATAAATAGTTTTGGAACCAAAAAAAAAAGTTTAACCAAACAAGAAACAAAATAATGTGAAATTTACCTCAGAATTGTTATCAATTTCACAAATCAAACAAATTAAGAAGAGCTTTCAGAGGTTCACATTGATATAAAATAATACATTTTCTCATAAATATGGAAAACAAAACTATCATAGAAAAATTCAATTCTTATACAAATCTTTTCAAATGAACAAATCATAATCCAAAAAAAAGAAATTGAAATATCCTAGAGCGCCGTATTAATAAATCATATATCTTCATATTTCTTTTGTAAGTAAAATTTTGTTTTTACAAACTTTCAAATACACATAATTTTTATATTAGTAACTTCTTAAAATATAGTTCTTTCACACTAGGAACAATCCATTCAAAGTAATAAAAAATGATGGATCATTACTTTACAAAATATAAATTTACGAGTCAAATTTTACATTAAATATTTTTTTGAAATCAACTATGTTTTCAAATAAATTGAAATTTGATATCATGATTTCATATTGCATGTCCAAACGCAGCCTTAGTTTCAATTGTAAACAACACCATATAGAATAGTAATTCAACTGTAAAGATAACTTCACACACATTGGCAAAAATTCTTGATGAAATATTGGCACAAAATCTTGATCATATTTTATCTTACTATTTCCTTCAAAATTTATGTGAACTAACAATAGAAATTCTTCCTGAGATTAACGTACAGGAGATGAAAAGAAGATTACAACAAAATACACGAAAAATCCAGCTAGTAGAATACCAGCATAAACTAAATTCTGAGAAGACTGCACAGGAAGCTTGTATTCAATACTGCAGCATTTCATTTTCTCTCTCTCAGAAGCCAAAATATGCTCCACATACCTAAAAATTCAAAAATTCAACAATTCACAACATAAGAAATTTACAGTAAATTCCTATATCTATAAGGGATAAGAGTTTCATGTGTAACTTACTGCTGAGTGAAAATGGAACTTTGCAAGATATCTGAACTATTCGAGTGTGCTTCTTGCAAGCGATGATCATACAGTAGGGAAGACAATTCTACGAGTTGTTCCTCTAGGTTCTGTTATATGATAGAGTCAGCATATGTCATTTACATAATGATATAACTAGATTTACCAAGTACCGGAAAAATAATTACTTACATCCAAGTATTTTTCTAGACGATCAACTAACTCATGGGGGAATGGTTCAGGCAAGTTGGTAGTCTTTTTATAGAACTTTTCCAGCCATAAGTCAGTACTTGTTTTGTTCTTTTTACCCTTCACTGGCTCGCCAAGAGGAGTTTTCAGATGTTCTGCAGCAAAAACTTGTACAGCCTGGGAAAAAAAAAGATGGGACAGATAAATACAGGTTAGAACAAAAGAGCTAGGTGAATGACAACTAGAAGTACCTCTGATGTCTCCCTGATCCGGTGAAGGGCTGAATCAACACGTGCATATATTGTGTTCCTCTGCAGGTAATAGTAAATGATGAGCCTTTAATTTATGTGAGTTACAATCAAATCTACATCATGTAGAAAGTGTAAAGCAGATAGTGAAGAGCATAACATACCAGGGCGACATCCTTGAGCAATTGACTGACTTGTGAAGTGTTAGAGAATGGTCCAAATGGGTGGCAACCAGTTGCCCAGAGCCAATTTACAACAGGCCTTTCATGCACGTGAGAAGCCTTTTCATATGGAGCACTCAACCCACCCACAACAGAAGCCAGTCCTGCCAATATATGTTGTTGGGCTAGCATTGGAATAGCATGCCTTCTCTCTATTTCTGAAACATAGCTGTCAAATACCAACAGGAAGCAAGTAAAGATCCCCAAACTAGATGCATGCGAGGAGAATAAACATCAGAAAACATTTAATGGAAGGTTTGTAAGTTCACTAATGAAATAATTTGAGGTAGTCTTCTTTTACCATATTTTGTGTTTCTCATAAATATTTGTATTAGACTTAAAACATCAAATCATAATAATGCTTCTGATGAACAGAGAAATAGTCTAGAGAAATTGCATGCAAAATCTTTTAGATGCCTAAAGAACGAATACAGGAGAATATGAGGGAGGCGATGGAAATAAAATCTTGCTATATACTTGGAGTATGGTTCTCAATGACATTTCCTCTATACTTGTTTTCTGTAGTCAGTCCAATTAGCAAAAAGTTAGGCTGGTTGGAGATCAGAAGTCATCGATCTCCATTAAAAAGAATAAGATAAAGAGTAAATTTGTTATCAGGGTCTTGCAGCTTTCTATTGTCATACTCTGATACGAGTGGTCGCAATGTCAATTGTAAATACTAATTAAAATCTAAACTCAGTTTACTAGATTTATAATTTATTTGAGGTCAGGAAGACAGAACCAAGGAACTACCACTACTTTAGTAGAAAGGAGTTGCTGCAGCTAAAATATTGCCAACAAACAAAACTTAAAGCTGTCTCCTACCCCGGATAGATTAAAAGTTCCATGATTGTAGTATACAGCAGAAGGCCATACTGAAGGACACCAAAACAAACAAGATAAATAAGGCAATGAAAACGGAGTAAATACGTCACCCACCTCAAAGGTATCTTATCATTCTGATGTTGGAGTACAATAACTACATCTTTACTTGTCCAAACAAGACTTTCCTCTTCCATCATAAGATGTTCATCCACATCAGCTAAAGATAGAACAAACCTGTAAACAAGGAGGATATTGTTAGAGCATGGCACTCTTGTTCAAAATGGTGGTAATAGGAGAAAAAATCTTCTGGAATTTAGGGTTAGAACTTTTCGATCTTGTTGGGCAATTTTTATGTCAGTGTAAAATGTAGAGAACCTGCTTTATTGAATATTGGATGGAGATAAGGCTAGATGGAGCAGAAGGGGTAATGAGGATTCATATAACCGACCCCGGCTAGGTTGGGACTAAGGCTTGGTTATTTATGTATCTATTCATTGTCAAACAAATAGAAGAAAAGAAATTAAACTTAAAAAGAAATAATCAGAACAGCCAAATAGAAGAGACATGTATTAAAGGCAATGCTTTTTTGGCATTTCTGATGTATATGTCATCCAATAATTCAGCAACCAAATTGCTATATGGTCAACTATGTTAAATGGAACAGCATGCAGTACAAGTTTGTTTTCATTCGTCAATCTTACTCATGATATAAATAAAAGATGACAACAGGCATAGTGTAATATGCTATTGTTGCTATCCATGAAGTCCAATATCAAAGACCAATTCAATGATTAATGCAGAAGCATATGATGGGCATACCTAATTATTGAGTGCAATAGGTAAAAAGGTTCATTACATAAAATACACACAAGCTCCTGAAGATCAAAGACAAGTCTTTTAGCAGAACTAGTAATTGGTACTGAGCAAAAAGGTTCATTACATAAAATACACACAAGCTCCTGAAGATCAAAGACAAGTCTTTTAGCAGAGCTAGTAATTGGTTACTGAGTAAAGAAAGAAAGCTCCCAAGGCTATGATCTAGTGGTAAGAGGGCAGTGGATAGGCGCATGTCACTGGTTTGAACCCTGCAACAGACAAAAACTTGGTATTTAAATGGAGAAGGGTAGAGGGGTATGCCCAATATCCACCGAGTTGAGACTTGCACCAGTGTTCCTTGGTGATTTCTCAGTTATAAGAAAAATCGCATTATCGATTTGTATAGCGATATTTCTGATGTGTTCATTCAGTATCAGAACTCAGAAGACAATGTCAAACATCAGAGAGGGAGAGAGAGAAGTGGCATCAACACAGCAGTTATAAGCAATCGAGAAAAGGCCTCAGTAAAATAAAAGGTTATTGCGCTCACACTGGAATGACTCTGGTACCATATGTGCGGTGCAGATCACCTTGTTTCTTCTTTTTTACTGCTCTTTTCTTCTCCTTCTTTCGATTCTGGTTATAAGTAGCCCAGATAGGTTTATGCTTTAGTACGGAATCACTTGTACCGTCATTCTCATCCATCCAGTGCTAGAAAAAAAGAAAACAGATTTAGAACAATAAGGCAAGAAGTAAAAGGTATATGCATGTGCAAGTTGCAACGGATAAATATTGATACAAGCCACATAGGTGTGTTCTGCAGAATATTTGCTAGGCAAGGAAATGGAGAAACCAACCTGACGGAGAAAAAATTTACTTGAGAGTGAAGGGTCAGAAACCTCAAGTAAACCGGCAGCTAGCACATCTGCCGATCGTTCCATCTCCTACATTTTTCAATTGCATAGAGAATTTTATGTTATAAGAAACTACTAATAACCAATCTGACAGAAACATCAGAAGACCAAAACAAATGAATAAATGAACAAAAGATTAATAGAGACATCAGATAACAAACAAGAACTGACAACCCCTGGAGAAGTGGTAAAAAAAGAGAGATGTAGTAACAGATACTCCCTCAGCTTCAACTTGTTTGTCTGGTTTTGACTTGGCATGGAGTTTAAGAAAGTAAAAAAGACTTTTGAATCTTGTCTTCTTAAACTCAAGATATGTAGAATGCACCAAAATGCCCTTTAATCTTGTGGTCTTAAACATGCCATGTGGAAAGTAGAAACTAGAAACTAAAGAGTTGCCAAAAAAGGAAAGAAACATTCTTTTTTGAACGGATTAAAAAGGAAAGTAAGACAAACAAATTGAAACGGAGAGAGTACACCATTTGCCTACTGAAACTATCTGAAGACCTTTTCTTCTCACATATAATCTTAATGCATTTCACATCCAACTGCATTTATTATCTCAAATGGAGGTAACATCGAAAAGGGAAACGGAAAATCAGGAAACCACCTCTCTAAGGATCGCACCATCAAGATATGTCTTTGTATGTACATGGAAACGTCCATCCTTCTTTGTTTCTTGAAGGGAATGACCCCGCATGGCTTTTGAAACAGCTATAGCCAATTTCTCATGGCGATGCAAAGCATGTGAACCTCCAATCATCACTACTTCCTGTTCTTTGTGAAGCATTTTCTTCACCTGAAGGTCAAAAACTAAAAGTTCATAATTCATGTATGGCCCTGGTTCCATCTAAATTTTAAGTTTTTGTTCTGTTGGGTACCAACATTGTTAGACTCAGCAAATAGATAAGGGAAACTACAAAAAAAAAAAAAAAAACAGCGAGAGAGAATAGGCAAGGGAAATAGACTTAATGACTAAAGAACAATTATCAGAAACCTTTTATATTTCTTGTCACAAACGAAAAATAGCCTAATTTAATCAGCAAGGATAGGATTAACATCTCAACAATAAAGTAGCAGTCAAAACCCACTCCAGCCCTCCTCCTTTTGATAAGTAACTTAGTAGCAGTCCTTAAAATGACATCTCTACCAGTAAGGATTGATGTCAAGTATAATAAGAAAGTATCTGTTTCATCAACATCTGAAAGCTTTACAAGTAGTTTTGAAAAGAAACAGAATTTAAAGTCTCCTCAACATTGTTTAGTGCAAAAGCAACAACATTTTCAACTCAGTCACAAAACGAATAACATATCAACCATCCAAGTCACTGGATACACAGAAAAGCATCATAAGAGACCAGGATAATGAGGTAAAATTTTTACCTCCGCTTCAATTGCTCCAACATCAAGACTATAGTTATAGCCCTTTGTCATGATATTGAAGCGATTATGATTTTGAAGGACAATGATAGGGATAAGCAACCTTGTTGTCATATCGACAGTTTCAAACCTAATGAATACATGATAAAAACACTAAGATTGTATTAGAAGAAAGAACAAAGTTTATCTATAACTGCTACAAATATGAGCACAGAGAAAGCAGGGGACAGGGACATTATCTGTAATCATCCTATTTTTTTCTTTTTTTATCTGTAATCATCCTATATGACAAAAATAAACACATCTAATCCTCAGGATGGTATCTTCATAAGTATGCAAAGAAAAAGATAGATCTGCAATTGCCAGTGCCTTCTAGTTTTCTTCCTCTTAAATGTGATGATGCATAAACTACTAGGGATAAGAGTTCAAAAATCAAATACATGCTTAAAACTTATCAAGTTTTTTCAAAACCATGATAACCATCATCAAAAGTAACCCGAACAGTCTAACCTTGTGTGAGGAAATAAAAGACTTTACCTAACATCCGGAGCTATGACATGTTCAATGGTGGTTGCAACTAGAGAGGCAAGCTGCCCAACAAAAATATCATGAGCAGCATGCTCAGTTACTACACCTGACCCTTTGTGAAGCACAACATTCCGCAAACGCGGCAATGATCTGGAACTAATGCTTCCTTCTTCAGTTTCAATCTTTCCATAAGTGCAAGGACCTGCTGAGAGGTCAACCACAACAAACCTGAAATAATAATGCCAGGAAACTCAAACTTCTGTACAACAGGTTAACAATTGAACTTTCAACTGATTTATCAGAGTTACAATTGAAAATATGATTCAACAACATAAACTATAAGGTATTTTAACAAAATATGAGATCTAAAAACAAATTGAGGAAAACCAAAAAGGAAGCCAAGTTCGCCAGACCACTAAACACTAGACAGTCTACGAAGAAAGTGAGATCGGCTGCAGCATTTCGCAGAACCATTTTTAACTTTTAATTCTAAGTTGCAGAAAACCCATCATCTTTTACCTCCACTGCTTGTTCCTGGCCCAAACAGAAAATCTTGCTTCCATATGTATGTTAATACAGGGGCTTAAACCTTCTGAGAATACATAAAGAAGCTAAAAAGACTGAAGGACTGAAGGTACAGAGGTACATCCAGACAAAGAAAGAAATTAATCATCAACTTTTTATGCCACATGATCACAAGATCTGTAGCTTTTAACCCACAGCAGAGATATCAAAACTGCAGAAGTCTAAGCAATTCACAAAAAACACTTGAAAGAAAATAGGATGCTCGGGCTAAAGATAAACATTTGATTCCACCATAGGGTCAATCTTGAGCCACAAATCAATTAGCATCTGAAGGCAGACCGAAAGGTGCAATACTATTATCCAACTAGAGGATGCTCAGTAATTATCTTGTGTAAAGGGCACATTTTGTTATCCCTTATCCGTTCTCTGTATAAACTAAGATAACTGTTTCAACATCAAGTATAACACACGATATAAAACCAGCAATACCTGCCAGAGCCAAGCCAAACTTGAGAAGCTCCCCCTCCATTATAACGATAGCGATATATGTAATCTCCTTCTTGTTTTTTCATCTCTTCCTCATTAAGTTGTGTAATTCTTCCATACATTAAACTGTCCAGGTCAATGTCCGTGTTCCTTGGATCCAATCTTACCTGCAGTGAAGTTCCCATGGTAACAACAGTCAATCAAGGTCCCTATTCAACACTCAGCAAAAGAAACTTAGTGAATTAAGGTTTGAAGTCTGATGTAATGGGTTAGTGTGCAACAACTGACTTCTCGATAAGGACGAACAACAATCAAAGTTAATGAGAAATAAAAAATTTAAATTTTTTTAACAAATATTATGGAAAAAAGTCAACCTGAACACTTCGTATCCTTCAGTAATAAAATCAAACAATTCAAACAAATCAAGAATTTGATGGTCAAGTTTGCCACACATACCTTATCAAAGTTAACAATAAAGATTACAGTAGGCCAGGGTCTATCCATCTCTTCAGCAGACTGTCCCCAACTTTCAAGATCAAATAGGTAAGAATAAAGTTTCTGAAATTCCGGTTCCACGGCAGTTGCCTCAACTTCAAAAAGGGGAACTTCTCTTCCAAAATCAGTCTACATATCACAAAACAGGTTGACATTTGATTTTTATTTCATGAAGTAGAAACTTAAAATAGGAGAATCTGAGACAAATTCAGAATTAAGATTATCTGGTACAGTCACCTCTCTTGCATTTCCAGCAGGCACCATTGCTGCCTTAAGTGCTTTCTCCAAGGCTATTAGTTCTGGCTGTCCAGCCTGCAGCAACAGGTGACACCAGAATCACAACAGTAACCATAAACTATTAGCACCAACCATTCCATTTTCATCTTCGAAACATCTTTAAGAGTACTCCGAACATCTTTCTTCTTTTTTTTTTTTTGCTCAGTCAGTTATCCAAAAATCTAAACTTTTTATTCATCATATATTTAGGCAAGGGACGCCAAAAATATAATTAACAGCAAGGACTACATCCATTTCCAGTTGAGGTTTCCTTCTCCATTTATCCGATGAAGGACAACTCCTCTCATTGGATCCCCAGTAAGTGAATGTTTAAGTTCGATTAAGTTAATAATTTCCTGCCTTATATCTAGATTACAACAACTTTCTTTTAGAGATAATTTATTGTTTTTTGAGATAAATCTAGATTACAACTACTGCTAAGCTGCATCCCAAATTACTATAAATCACTATTGGGATATGAAAAAAGAAAAGAGTTATTTTGTTACTTTTTTTATTGTTCAAAATGAAATTAGAGTTTTGTCTTATTGCTAGGAATAAGCCATCATCCCAGTTCAAAAACCTCAAGAAATTAGGCCATCTGACTTCTATCTAGTGGTAAAGTTTCAAATTTATATGCCACAAAAGAAGTTCTTGATATCCTTAATATTAGGATCTTGTTTGCTTAGAACAAAAGAATCCAAGCCGATATTGGCTAATCAATCATTTTGAGGCATAAGATTTGTGAATGAATAACAGAGAAATATTCATAGGATAGTTACCATTTCTTCAAAAAAAATCATAGGAAAGCAACCAACAGTGAGAAAGCAGTAATCATGAATGTAGTGTAGCTCTATTCAAAATTAGAAGAGATCTCCGAACATAACACGAAAACAACCATGATTCTAAAAGCACCGTGGCAAAATGGTACAAGCATAATTCATAGAAGGGAGAAGGCTCACCGGAAATGTATTATATACTATGTGATGCTCAATATCAAGTGGTTGGCCTGTCGCCAAACACGAGGGCCTATGAGATGGGAAACTGACTTTCAGAAACTCCTCCAACTTTGGAGAATCTAATGCGTACCTATAGCCTCCATCACCACTAAAACCAACAAGAACTATGTTGACTTCCAGAGGAACTTGAAATGGTACCTGTACAATATTAACACAATTAGGCATCTGAACAGAGCTTTTATATGAAGAGAATTTGAAAATGTAAATAGCCTGCATTATAACCACAGAGGTTCACCCATAGCCTATTGTCTATTTCTCTCGTCAATGAACATATATATCAATTTCGGGCCAAGCCTCAGTGCTAATAACTAAATTACATTTGTAAAAATTTAAAGTTTCAATGTATAGGACTTCTGAGTTGACTGATAACCAAACAGAACAAAAGCAATTACAGCCATAACATGGATTTAAGAGATCCAAAACACATGAAAAGATAGAAATTGGGAGGTTTGCAGTCGAATTTAATAAGAACTTCGAACTAATTTGACTAAATTCCCATTCTAGTTTAAGCAGTGAGCCAGCTAGCGGATAAAATCACAACTTTTTCCATGAATTTTGCAATAAATGATGATAAATACGAAAATCAATATGTAATTTACGAATATGAGATCTACCTCGGCTCGAGAATGAAGCATTTGACGAACTTCCGATCGAACGTTTTCTTTCACGTCTTGAAATGCTCCATGGTGCCACTGTTGGTGACCAGGATTACTACGATAGGCTTGAGATGCTGATTCTGACAGAGTCCCGAACAGACTCAGTGCAACTATTGCTATGCAGAAACAGCTAGTTATTCGAATCATCTGTACTTTCTATTTCTCTTTCCTTCTCAAAGATGTAGCATTTGAATGCGGTTGAGCCGAACACGATATCGGCAGAACAGAGTTCAGTTCTCCGGCGAGAAGAATCGCTGTTCCCCGGTGGCCGGAAATGTTTGACCCGTTTCACTGGAGAAGAATTGACGTACGGAGACTGAGTGAGCTTAATCAAAATTCCACTAGTGTCCCTGTTACATATTCTATTTTACGTTTTCTCTACTGCTGTTGTGTGAATCTATTTGCAATACGGGCCAGACGGGTCTCGTCAAGCCTGTCCTTCAAAGAGGCCCGATATGGTTTTGAAAGGAAATATATACTACTCCCTCCGTCCCATTTTATATGATGTACTTTGATTGGCACAAACTTTAAGAAAAATGGAAAGACTTTTAAAACTTGTGGTCCAAAATGAATGATAGAAATTTGTGTGGTTGTAAATCATTTCATTAAGGGTAAAAAAGACATTTTATAGGCAAATTGTTACTTAAAATAGAAATGTGTCATTATTTTTGGGACTGACTAAAAAGGAAAGTAAGTCATATAAATTGGGACAGAGGGAGTAGTTAATAAATGGGTAAATCACATAAATATCCTATATTAAAAAATATTTACCATCTATGGCAATATAAATTTTCTAACTAAATATAACATTTTTTTTTTTACTTTAAAAATTGTACTGTCTATCTTTCTTCGCTTCTTTCTCTGCCTTTTTTTTCTCTTATGCTTCTTCTTTTTACTTTTCTTCTTCTTCGTCTCTTCACACATTCTTTCTCTTCCTCCTCTCCTTTTTATTTAATTATTTTTCTTCTTTTAGAAATTTTCATTTAAATAACTATTCTTAAATGAATAGTTATATTAGATATATTTCATAATTGTATTAAAATCATGAACAATACATGTTCAATACATATTTCAAATTTCACTCATTTTTTAGTGATATCAACCAAAATAATATAAGTAACACACTTGTAATACATTTTAATATAGGCACAATACATTTGTAATACATATTGCACACTTCACTCCTTTCTTAGTGATACCAACAAGAATAATTTAGGTAACACACTAATAATACATTTATAAGATATGCGCAATACATTTTTAATAGGGAAAAATGACAAATATACCCCCGAACTTTGATAAATGGTACGTCTATACCCTCCGTCATACTTTTCGTCCGTCTCAACCCTTGCCGTCCAATAATCGGTGCACATTTGCCCCTCCCACTAACGGCACCCTCTTTGTGTACACGTGGCGAAAACCTAAGCCACTACCCGATTGACCAATTCTTTTAATCCAAATCTGAAGAACCCACCCCATAACCCAATAAATCACCCGATTTGTGGGTAAAATATACTCTCTAAAATCTAAAGAAAAGACTCAAATCCTAAATCATTTTCGTTCATCTCACAAACCCTAACCTAGTTCATCAGATTTTAGAGAGTTCATCGGTGCAATTGTTGCCTCAAATGCCGGCGATTTCTTAGAAACACACATCAGTGTATCATTTTGTCCAGCCTCGTCCTTAAATGCAGTCAAAGGGTTAGAGGATTCATAAGCTAAAGTTGGATGTCTGCTGCTGTTGCTTGTGGTGCCCAGATGCGAAAGTTGATGTCTGTTTTTGTTGCTTTTGTTAGTGAAGATGTTAATGAATTGGAGTCTTTTTCGGCAAATTTTACTAATTATTGAGTTTAATTTTCCTAATTATTGAGTGTAAATTTTACTAATTATTGAGTATAAAATCTAAAGAAAAGACCCAAATTTTAAATTTTAGAAGGTATATTTTACCTACAAATTGGGTGGGTTTATTGGGTTATGGGGCGGGTTCTTAGAATTTGGGTTTAAAAAGTTGGTCAACCGGGTAGTGGCTTAGGATTTCGCCACGTGTACACAAAGAGGGTGCCGTTAGTGGGAGGGGCAAATGTGCACCGATTATTGGACGGCAAGGATTGAGACGGCAAGGATTGAGACGGACGAAAAGTATAACGGAGGGTATAGACGTACCATTTTTCAAAGTTCGGGGGTATATTTGTCCTTTTTCCCTTTTAATACATATTGCAACCGTCCCTCATTTTCTTAGTGATAAATCAAAATAATTTATAAGACACATATAATACATATTTTATTCATGAATAATACAAGTTTAATTCAGTCTATAGGTTATTGTAGTGTCGTTCATTAGTTACGTTTTTTATTTATTCTTAATTTTTCTCTTCTAATTCAACTTTAGTATTGTGTAATACACTTTTAATGCAAATTTAACTCATTTTGTAGTTTATTATTTGTTACTATTAGATTACTTGTTTAATTTATTATTGATATAAGTTTAATTCACTCTATAGATCATTGGTTGGTCTTTCATTAGTTACATTTTTTATTCATGTTTAAATCTCTCTTCTAATTCAACTTTAATATTTGTGTAATACACTTTTAATATAAGTTTATTCATTTTGTAGTTTATTGGTTGATTTGTTACGATTGAATTACTTGTTTATTTCATTATTAATACAAGTTTTATTCAGTTTACTGATTACATAATATTCTTTAGTTTGCTATATTTTGCATTCATGTTTAATTCGCTTCTAATTCAACTTTAATATGTTTGTAATACATTTTTAATTCAACTTTAATTCATTTGACAATTTATTATGTTTCTTCATTTGTTACTATTAGATTACTTGTCTAATTAATTCTTGATACAAGTTTTATTCAGTCTTCTAATCATCGACTGTTCATTCGTTTGCTACATTTTGCATTCATGTTTATTTCTCTTCTAATTCAATTTTAATATGTGTGTAATACATTTTTAGTAGTAGTGAAATAATCTGATTTGTCATGTTTTTTTCTTGCACATCACCAATAAACTAGAAAATGAATTAAAAATGTATTACACACATATTAAAGTTGAATTAGAACAGAATTAAACATAAACGCAAAATGTAGCAAATGAAAGAGCAGTCAATGATTCGTAGACTGAATAAAACTTGTATCAATAATGAATTAGACAAGTAATATAATTGTAACAAATGAAGAGACATTAAGTTGCAAAATGAATTAAAAATGTATTACACACATATTAAAGTTGAATTAGAAGAGAATTAAACATTTAATGCAAAATGTATTAAATTTTTTATATATTGACAATTAAGCATTACTTCAAGGTGTTACGCAGAAGCTAATAATTGTAAATCTTGACAATAAATCAACAAAGAAAATTATACTATATATATCGAGAGAATATTTTTTCTAAATAAAATTTTTTAATCCTAATGATTATTGTGTTACTATATTAAGGAAACATCTCCAATTTATAAAAGTGCGAAACTTTTTATTCAACAAAAAGAACAATAATCAATAAATTGGGCTTGCCCATCTTTAAGTTAAAAAAAACATAAAGAACAATATTTTTTCACCAAGATTTTTTTTAAAAAAAATAACATAAACATGATAAAAATTCAAATAAAATAGAAAAGTAATAATCAAGATGAGCAAACTTTCATTTGAGATATGTTTGTTTCACCATTCAATTCATCAAAAATTATTTGTCATCCTTTCTTAATAAGGAGAGACACAGAAAAAAGAGAAAGAAGCGAAAGAGAGAAAGCTGACACAAAATAAAGTAGATAATATTGTTATATATTGCTATAAATGGTACTCCCTCCGTCCCTATTTAGTTGTCCATATTTCCTTTTTTAGTTGTCCCTATTTAGTTGTCCATTTTGACAAACCAAGAAAGGACAACAAATTTTTTCCTATTATACCCTTATTTACACTTCTTGAAAATTGTAAAAGTGTATGTTGTTTTCCTCCAATTTATTTCACTTGAATTCAAAGAAATGGTTGTAATTTTAAAGTGAAAAGTTGTCATAAGGGTAAAATTGTAACTTCACTGTGCTAATCATTGTTGCCTTAATCTGTGTGCCATTTCTAAAGTAGACAACTAAAAAGGGACGGAGGGAGTAATAATTAGAGAGTATATTTAAAATAAGTAATTATTTTTTAAAGGGAATCCATCCAAGTAATTAATCCTTAATAAATCATCACAGTTCTACTATAGTTTTAGTTACTTATCACTTGTGATCAATATTCATCGATAATTATGTGGGTTGGAATTTTGAGTTTGTATAATATAATTTAAATAACTTTTGTATAATGTAATTTTGTATAACATAATTTGTATAGCTTTTGTATAATGTAATTTGTATAACTATTTAAATTTGAGATGTTTGTGCTTGTATAAATTCGTTATTTTGAGTTTATACAAAAATAGTTCAATTATACAAACATACCCGTAAATTATACAAACTAACCCGCGAATTATACAAACGGGGCAGTTTAAACGGTAGCTACAATCTATAAATATGCAAACTATAGCTATGAAACAAACTAGGCAGTTTAAACTGTATCTACAACACGTAAATATGCAAATTATAGCTATGAAGCATAAATATATTTATTATAATGACTATTTACGAAAATTCTCCAATAATTTTTGCTTCTTAAATTAATAGTCTTTAATTTTTGTTCTTTGGTATTTTGAGAATTTAAGTAATAAAAAGTGACTGAAAATAATTAACATTATAAAAGCAAAAAAAAATTGTAAGAGTCGAGAAATGCTTTATAAGGCAAAAAGAAATTACCTACGTTATGTCTTACGAAGCATAAATTCAATTTTAGAATAGTATGCTTTACAAAATTCATAATTCACAAGTCAAAAAAATTGCAAGGCAAAATTCATAAGGGGAAATTTACAAGATACAAGTTATGTACAATCATAAGTTTATTTTCAAAACATTGTGTATTAAGAAGTTCATAACATATATGTTATATGTTACAAGGAAGAAGTTATATTTTATAAGACATAAAATCAATTTCAGAACCACAAAATTATATCTTTCAGATTTTATTTTTAAAAAAATGGAAAAGGGCCTAAAATATCCTTGAACTATTGAAAATGGTATAAAATTACCCTCCATCAACCTATTGGCTCCCAAATACCCCCTAACATCCACCTATTGTTTCTCAAATATCCTGACTAAGGCTGGGCACCGAACCGGAACAAACCGGTGCCGTATCAGAACGGGACGGTGTGACCGGGTTGTTGATCGGTATCGGGATGAACCGGACCGGAACTACCGGGATGGAGGCTCAGTTCCGTCCCGTCCCACTATATACCGGGATAGAATCG